TAACAGCGACACTAGCGTTTATTTATTTATTTATCATAGTCAAAGCTCCAAGAGCAATTTGGGTTTGAGTATCTTGCCAAAAAACAGATTGATATGGACACTTGTGGAGCCGGTGATCAAACTGCCATTGAAGGACGGCCGTGCTCTAGCACCGAGTCACAGTTGTCCCATTAGTTGAGTTTAGTGTTGTTAGTTTTGGGGGAAAAGGTGTGCATTCAATAACATGTTTGAGGTAAAAACAACTACAATAGCCCTTTTTTTTAGCTAAATCATGAGGTCCTAAAAAACATGTAATCCTTTCATAGCTGAATCCAGAGTTATGGTTGCATCTCCATTCATGTATATGAATTAGCAAAAAATGACCAAACTTCAGTTGGTGGAGTCACACAATAAACACAGCCGTCTAAGGCCCTGCTGGAAAACAGCAGCCTGCAGTAAAATGTCACAAGCCCACACCACATTTCAGGCTTAATTACTACTGTGGGAGCGTGTGTGCGTGCATGTGTGTGCGTGCGTGTGTGTAGGCCCAGTCAGGCGCTTAGCACTAACAAGGTCAGCCAGTAATTACGGCAGTAAGAAGAAGAAGTAAGAAGTAAGAATAGCTCTGGTGTCAGCCTGACTGCAGTCTGGATCAACCTAAAAATATTTCATTCAGCTGTATTTTATGAAATCAATGGCCAAAGAAAATGAAAGACAACTGACATCTCACCGTTGTCTCGACATGTCAAAGTAGAAAAGCCACAGTAATCAAATAAATAGAGCATCAATATAATTTAGCAAAGCAAAGTTGTTGACCAATATAAACATACAAACTAATTCCTACTTTTTTTCTCCCAGCATCATATTCTATATTCAGATTTTATAATGCTGTTAACGCAACTTTCGGTACACTGCCTGGCTAGCTATTTTCTTATTCTTGTGTTTATGCTAGGCTATGCTAACTAGGCTATATCCTGACTCGAGCCCTGAGCACACATATGTGAGACTCTTATTCCTTTAAATTGAAAAGTCAAATAATAGTAAAGGGATTGGAGGTTTCCATTCCAAGTGTTTGACCTAGATTTGTATTTTGCTAAATGATTGTGCTATACATTAGAGCATTAGAACAGGGAAATTTGAATTTGGCAGGTTAAGTTCAACTGTGCACGAACGGGCAGAGAGCAGCTTGAGGAACAGTATTGATCAGGCTCATAGAGGTATTCTAAGATGGTATTAACAAGCTATTCTATTATCATCCATCCCAATTAGACACTGATAATGATTCCTTGGCACTAATGAAAAGGCACAATGTGAGTCACGGAAGGAGCTACCAGGGAATGATAAGTACAGACCTAGTTAGTGATAAACAAAAAAAATATGGAGTTGAAGGAATGCAGACTGGCCTGAAGTTTGATTTCTGTCAGTGTGTGTTTATTCCAAACCTGTTTCTGGAGCTTGATTTCAACTTGAGTGCACCACTCTTGTGGTTTGATGAGGTTATCTTGTCTAACAAAGGTGGCACAAAACAACCAGACTCAAACGTCTGTAAATACAGACTCAAACGGAAACGTGGCTTCTTACTTTTTGGTCTTTTTAGGAGAACGTTGTCTGAAAGAGGTGGCAGAACCTCATAGGGTCACAGAGTACTTTGCTAGGATGCGGGGATATATATTTTGTTTTAGTCTTAACATAGCATAACTTGAATCCTAACATTGTTATTCTCATTAGAATGTTAATTATTTGGAGATTTTGTGTGCTCATAAAAGTAAATCAAAATAGAGGCCACGAAGGGACTGGAGGTTTTTAAGTAACTTGAAGGTGTCCAGCCGGAAGACACTGAAGCAATGGTTCACAAGTAGTAGCTCGCAGGAGTGTGGAGACAAGCTCCACGGTCAGGGAGCTCTGTTTTTGTAACAGGTGGACAGCGATGACTTGAAGTGCCATTGGTGTGGAATACGCCTTTGCAACAACCTTTAATCAACCCAGAGCCAACTTTGTTGTTGTTTATTAAACTCATAATAAATCAAACACCAGCATGTTTTAACCAATAAGAGGCGACTACGCCCGTATGATGTAAAACGTATATAACTTGATGGATTCCTTTGTGCAGGGTTCTTGAGTGGAATCATAGACATTAGTAAATGGTAAATGGACTGTACTTGTATAGCGCTTTTCTAGTCTTCCAACCACTCAAAGCGCTTTAACACTACATGACATCATTCACCCATTCACACCCATTCATACACTGATGACAGGAGAACCATACACAGTGACACCTGCCATCAGTAACTACCATTCATACACTGTAGTCGCAGCTACAGGAGCAATGTTGGGTTAAGTGTCTTGCCCAAGGACACAACGACATGCAGGTTAGCCGGGCCTGGGATTGAACCCACAACCCTCTGATTGGAGGACGACCATGCTCCCCACTCACCCACAGTCGCCCCGGACTAGTGGACTGTGTATTGTGAAAGCTCAATAAACCTCTGTACTACAACTTCTATTTTTATTCAAAACCACTTTATTATAACACAACAAATCCTTCCTCGTCCTATACTAAAGTTTATTGAACATAACACATTCCATTTATTTTTCAGGATTAAGAAGTCAGCTCCAGAGTACGAGAAATGGATAAAACGTCTCTCTTTCATCTTTTCGACATGTAAAATAATTTCACTGTGAGGGATGAAAATATTGGACCATTAAGAATTAAGAAAAATGGATAAACATTTTTGGTCACACACTGCCGCCAGCTTCCAGCTGAATATAGAAAACTCCCTATTCATGACTTGACTGTTACAAGTTTGGCCTAAATGTGGACACACAACAACCACTCCAGCCAGTGAATATGCACTGTATGTACACAACCCTGTACAGCCAGCACATTCAACAATTGCTTTCCTGTCTCATTGCAATCTCCAAGTAAGAGGGTGATATTAGCTTGAACCTTGTTCAACTGAAACCTGCAAATAGAAATAAGGTGATTCCCCACCAAGGATTACTCAGGCTTTCTACTGTTTAACTTAACGTAATTGAACAATAAATTTCATCAATGTGAGTTTTTCTACTGTGCTTTGAAGAAAAACGAAATATGAACCACCACTCTTTAAATGACTGTACTTCCACCATACAGGCTGATACCCACATGTCTTCAATGAAAATGATAGCGAGTCAACTGTATTGACATTATTTTGTACCACGAACACACACCTTACACTGGTCAGTAGCAACGTGTTCCTACTTGTGGAGACCAGCTGTCATCATACGAACGTAGAGAAGATGCACTCACACATCGAGGCAATATTCTTCAAAAGACCCAAAGGTCACACAGAAGAAAGGAACCAGTAAAGAGACAACACTATGTTCCAGACAAATATGTCTTCTGTTTGTTTGTTTGTTTCTCTCATTGCAGTTACAGCAGTGTGCTAATGAATTGATCCTGTCTCTAACTGCCAGACCCACTGCAGTACTCTCATCAGCAGCTCCAGCACTACTGCACAGTATAGATGGGTGGAATGCGTGGGACTGAATTACAGTTCATACAGCATTCCGATTTAAGGTAACTGTGAGCAATAGTTCTGTTGTTACTCTCAACAGGTGGGAGGTACATCCCAGCTGTCATACACCTTGATATTTGACTGGTCTATCTGGTAGATTTACTACTAGGCTGATGTCTTTCCTCAGCTTAGCTGCCTAGTTATGTCCTAACTGATACATGAGGTCAGAATATGAGGTTAAGTAGTGGAATACTTATACTTATACTACTAACCCATAGCATTATATTTTATTTTATTCCTTGTGCACTGTTGTCTTGTCGTCCATTGTCGTACTGTCTGCTGTTACGTACCAACCGCCAAGTCAAATTCCTTGTATGTCTGACATATTATGGCAATAAATGTTTCCTGATTCCTGAACATTTCTAACGTTGTTTATGATGATAAACATATTGTGGTTAAGCTCCTATATTTTGTTGAGAGTTCCTAGGTTGAAAAATGGGTGTTTCCTACTTCAGCATGCGTGTTTCCTACATTCTCACTGGCAGCCGCTCCAGATGAGCATCTACAGTCAGTTTGGGACTCAGGAACAGTGAGTCACCTTTCCACTTATTACATGCCTACACTCTTTTTTTTGTGTGAATGTGTGAACGATTAGAAGACACATTGTAGATGCATTCCAGATTTAGCAGGCTTAATATCCGGACCTGAGGGAGAGACTGTCTCCAACGAGAGTGCAAGATGCGGCTGTAGGGATCGTCTGTAACCAAAGGTGGATGTTTGGATAAATAGACACAACACGTCTACAACAAGTCTACAAGCAGGTGCCTGCTCGTCCAATCATTGAATTCAGGCAGAATAAAATAATTTAGTATATTAGTATTCATTGATAGCTGGCAGGATGTCACAAGAATTTCAACTAAAAAAAATATTATTTTTGAAGATTGCCGACCCTACCTTAAACTACATGTCCTTTGAATGCAGCACCAACTGTTTTCTGCAAGAATTGACAATTCACAGCTTTCCAACGAGGCTTGTGGTAAATTTGTCAAATCCTCCTAAAGGACAAAGCAGGTGTGACAGCAGCAGCCCACCAGAAGTCAAGAGCCCCAAAACCAACTACGGGGGCATGGGGGTTGTAGGGGGGCACGTCCCTACATCCTTTATAATTAGCCCATATGACATTCATTTTCTACGGGATGGATTTAAAACTATCCTAAAATCAGAAAACCTCAATAGCTGTAAGCATCGCAGGATGCATCCTGATGCCTTCATTGGCAGACAGAATAACAATAAATAGGCATATAGCAAGCTGCCTATCAATTGCAATGTATTGTAAATACATGCAGTAGAGTACTATTGTGTTGCCAAAGCAGTTGGCACAAAACAACACGGACTCAGTAGAATATTTGGCCCATCTACAATGGGGATATTATTGTTATAAGGATAGTCCCATGGGCCATTAACAACAATTGACTCAGTGTGCACGATTTATATTATTTTTATACTACAATAAAAATATCTTACCAGTGCTACTCATGGTGCCAGTCGGACGTATTCTCCAGCCAGATGATGCACAGAAAATTACAGTACCCTACATGGATGATGCCAGCCACCGCAGAGCGCAAGCCCCAGCAAGGGGAACGGTGGAAGACGTCTCAGGGGAGAGATCAAGAGAGCCCGGTTGTCCCTAGCTGCGGAGGCCGGAGAGATCTCCCAAAGCAGCCGCACTGAGAAGACAATGTCGTGCCTACACTGCAGGGTTACGCTGCCTCGCTACAGCAGACAGCGCAGGTTGGGTGTGGGCGCGCGGCGGAGAAACGCAGCCAGAGTCAAGTTACAAAAGAGAATAAAGAAGGTTTCCGGTGTAGTATACCAAAATAAAAATGTTCCTCAGTGTGAGGTCCACATTCGTAATTAGCGAATCCCCCTATTCTCTTGGGATACTGTATGCTGCAGTATACTACATTTGGAGCACTTCAATGCATCGTTTGTATGAGTAATTAAATATAATTGAGAGACCTTCAATGATAAGTATAGGATTATTTGCTTTGACGTAATTGTATTCGGCATGTTACATCCAACATGCCAAACGTTTCATTCCCTCACCCTATATGCGTTTACATTGAAGGAATTTATCAAAGTGTTCCGGTTGTATGCTTTGCTTCAGCATCCAGAGGGCTGCTCCACTGAGCATCTCCGTGCTGACAGTGCCACTCAGGTCGTGGCGCAAAAAACATGGGAATTGTAGTCTCAGGAAAGAAAACGCCCATTTTAAGAGTAGCGGGCCGCTGCTTTTGGACTACAAGTATTTTCTAAACAAAGTGCAATTTGAAGTGGAGCGACAGTAACAGAATGGTATTTTCATTTTTAAAACATGTTGCAAAATCTATTTGGTTGCAATGAGTAAATAGTGACTGTGTTTGTTAGTTTAAAATATAAACTAACAAACACAGTCATTTAAACTTTAAATGATTCTATCCTCAAAGCACAGAAGATGTTGAACCTCCTATTACTCATTATGTTCCAGTGTTGAAAAAAATTGAATAATTAACTAGGCCAGAGATTTTTTATACAGAAACGTACGGAACTGGAGGAAGAGGACTGCTGAGAGGAAAATATGGATTTGGGAATTTTCAATGAAAATTAATAAACAGAACAGAAATAACACTATTATTTCCTTTCCTTTAAGTTGCGTATCTATCTTTTCTTTTAATTAGAGATTTTTAGTTTGAGAGTTGGGGTAACTGAACACATGAATAAGGTGGCATTTGGTAAATGATGGATGGTGCAATTTGTGTTTTCCTTTTTTATTGGAATCAACACCAATCAAGACATAATTCAATAGCTAAAGGTTTCATTGTTACAGACACATTTAATCTAATTCAATTATCCACAATCTAAGTATACATATAAGTATTGCAAAAATCAAGAAATAACTAGAATTATTGTAAAAATCTGACCTGAATAAAGCACTTCAGTTAATATATACCTATGGATGAATAAAGTTTAATATATATATATTCCAATTGTAGAATGACCATTCTCTATTGTCCCGTCCCTGTGAGTCTGGTCATCCAGGTCCATTCTCCAGAAGAGGGAAACTCCTTTCTCGGGAGAGCAGCTGGAGATTGGGCCTGGGGCCATTTTAATGGAGCGTTTCTTTACATTGTAGAGTTTACTGCGACAGTTGTTCATGAAGAGATTACGTTGTGCTGGATTCTGAGGAACTACCAAAAAAGTCTCCTTGTGTTACCTGATTTATACTCTTAGATAGTTTATTCTGAAGCCTATGAGGTGTTTCATTTGCCAAAGGTTCAGACACACAGCTGAAAGGTATTAAGGGAGAGGCAGGAGAGTACGGGTAGTGCCAGCACGTTATAACTGCAGAGAAGGGTGGAGAGTCAGGGGGGGCACAGTGTGGTTTATTATCGGCCATCCATCCATCTTCAAAGCCCATCCTACAGGGTCGTGGGAGGGGGAAGGAGGGGGGGGGGGGGGGCTGGAGTCAATCCCAGCTACACATATACAGTACACTGAAAAAAATGATTCGGACCCCTTTTAAATATTACTTGATTTATTCAAGGTTATTTCACTGATTTGAACGTGTTATTGAATCCTACTTATCTTTTTTAATTAATCTTAACACATTCTTCCATGGTTTAGAAAAAGCTTATTTCCTTCATTTAAAAGTTACATGAAAAAAATGTGTACATTTTACAACCACATTCAACTTCCACATCTGCGCATGTGCGACCACAAACCGCCCCTGGAGGACGCGGGAATCTTTTTCACTTTTAAAGATTTGCCATATCTCCTGGCTGTCTGGGTATCCAAGGCTCTACGTTTTCAGTAAGTAAACATCTTAAATTCATGGCTGTATTATATTTTCACTTTAACCGGATTTAGTTGCCACCAAGAAAAGTAGTTGGTTGTCTGCTGTGTGTTACTAAAATGTTAACTGAGGCTATAGCTGCTAACGTTAGCTTAATGTTGCCTACATCATTAAGGCTAGGTTAGCATTAGTAGACTCATTTTAAGTGAAAATAATTATCTAACTGGTGCCGATGATATCAATATAAATGCGTGATGCATCAAATGCTTTTCTTGTTGGACTTTCTCGTGAGTTTGTGGCCACTAAAAGTCGAACCTAACCAATGTCAATTGACTAGCTAACGCTAGCTGATAGCTAACGTTAGCTAACGTTAATAGCTTGTAGCTTCACCTTCCCCGCTTTCTCGGCATGTCGAAAGGTTTAACGTTACGGACCCACTTTAAGTGTATTTTTAACTTGAACCTATCAGTGCGGTAATATTAGGATGAACAATAACTAAACTGAAATCCTATTGATAAAAGTGCGCTTGCTGCTCTCTGGCGCCAAATGGGTTAATGTTAACAGCCATTACGTGAGTCGCGCGCGGCTCTGCTCTGCTCAACTCTTTGCTGTGGTATCTTTTCCCTTTGTGGTGCCTTTTCTCGGCTATACACTAATCCGGTAAAAAATACTTTTTAGTTGTTGGCCAAAAACTAAATGGGTAGGATAATATTGGGTTGCCTGCCGTGCCAAAATAGTTTAGCTTCGTTTTCAGCTCTGGTTTCATTAGAAATGAACTAACTATTGTAGCCTACCCACAGTATTTTGTCTGTTAATAATTGAGAATTGATACTAATCATATATATATATATATATATATATATCTTTTTGAATAAAAAAAATTATATATGAATAATTCATGTTTAAGAAACATTTCTGCCATTTGTTGCTCATTTCTATAGTAATATGAGGGTTTATTTAAATACAAAATGTGTTTGTTGGGATCTAATTTGAGTCATTATCTTAACCCAAGTCAGTAATGATTAGTGAACATTACTTATTTTTCCTAAAATAAATACCTGAATTGTATTTTCAGGTATATGTGTATTTTTTTGCAGTTTTTTCTATCTGATGTTGGTGTGATGTGGAACTCTTTGGGGACCTCATAACGTTTTGGTAAGTACATTTAACAAACAAACTCTTCACAGGTATGCTGATCCCAGCAGTACTGCTCAGGATAAATATTCTGTAACGTTGTGGTATTTTTGCTCTCCATAGGGCAGTTATGCCACTGATCATATGTAGGCACTCAACAACTTTAGTGCAAATGATTTTTGTCCTCTTTAGTCAGCTTAATATTACATTTCCTGGGACAAACAATGAGTTAAATTAATTACTCATCTTTTGTTAGCTCTACAGTGCAGGAGTTTTAAGTACCACGGGTGACTGAATAAACACCATCACTAATTATTATTTTTTCTTCTCTCTTTGTTGTTTGTCTAGTTTATGTGGCAGTGTAAAGACTGTGGCGCTGAAGTGTCGAGGCGATCAGAGATTCTTAAACATTACAAACTAAAACAGTCATTTTGGACGTGGCCCTCATATTAAGTGTGTATATCCTGATTGGCCTGCACTTTTCCATATCGATGAGGTAAGCACATGCTAGCTATTTTCCCAATGTGCCTCTTGTCTTTGTACAACAGAATATTGCACCAATACTCTGTATTTTGTCTTTTTGTTCTTTGATAAGATACATGCTGAATTCCAACGCATTACAGCCATCCCACTGGAATCTACCTTCATGGCACGGTTGGACAGCCATTTAGCCCAATTGACATCCATCTTCCAGATGAAGGGAGGAGTTGCTGGCCAGAAACTAGCTAAACATCTGGAGATTTTGCAAGAAGTAAATATGTACACCAATCATTATGACATGTAAAATGTCATGTATATATGTGATGATGAAAACATTAAGTTATATTGTACATTTAGGTTATTACATTTTATAAATATTGTTCAGTTTATTGAACTTGTTGTACTTATTTATGTATTTCTTATTATTATTCAATAATTATAATTCTTTAACAGAGGAGACAAGTGATGTCAATCTGAAAAGGACAGCTATCCTAAAGGCTCTTTGCATCTACCTGGGTGAGGACGAGGGACAGCTCGTTCGGGAGTATATAGTAAGTCATTGGGATTGATTTGCCTGTCACATGTTATGTTTTAAGATCCTAATGTCACCCACATATGTTTTCAGAGGTTCATGTTATCATTGACAGACGGTTGAGAATATTCATATAAAATTAACAACTTGCTGCACAGTATCGTCGTTCCTATGTACATCTTTAATAACACCTCACAGATATATGGTTTTATTTAAATACATATAAAATGGGATCAGATTCATCTAAGAGATTATTATGTATGGTGGCAATGTTCATACAGTAAAGTATACGTCATTGAAATGAAATACATTTCATGAATCGTGTTCTTTTCTCCTATTCTCTTTACACATACAGGACATTGAAGGAAATGACATCCCGAGAGACCTGCAAAAGCATACCATGGGTATATATGTCATCAACAAGGAGGGTGGAGAAATGCGACATTGTGATGACATTGGAATTTTCGTTGAAGGAGTAATCATTCTCAACAACTGTGGATCTGTGGCCCACGCTTGTGCAATGATGCTGGGAGTCATCTATGCTCTGAACATGGCTTACCCCAAAGAGCTAAGATACTATTACGAATTCCTTCAGAAAGTGCTCTTTCGAATGGATGCTGAAAAGCTTTCTCCCAAAATCCTTGGACTAAGGAACAAAAGAGATGCTGGACTGTAGGAAATCTTCAGCCACTCTTGTGAACTGGTCTCATTGCATTGCAGAAGAAAAGAGTCGACGTAATTATAAAAAGCACCAGTCAAACCCGGGTAAACGATATATATGGCACACTGAAAAGATGTTTGTTCCATTTATTGATGTGACAGTTAGTCTCGTTCT